GGGGTACAGGGAAGAAATAAGGATTAAAAAATTCAGCTTTGGCAGATGAATAGTGCTACCATTTCCCAGTTATTCACTTGTTTCTTTAAAGATAAAGGTAGCCTCTTTGCATTATAAAAATTATTCTCTGAAAAATTAAAAACTATGAAAAATAACTATAAGCTACTTATCAGAGTGAATTAATACTTTGTATATACCCTTTCAGACTTCATTGAGACTTTCGAATTTTTACAAAATTGGAATTGTATTTAAAAATTCTCTCTTTCACTTAATATATCATGTCAATAAAATTCGCAACATTTTTAAAGACTGAATACTATTCTGCAATTTGAATGTAGTTTAATTAAGTAATATCCTAATAAAAAGGACCATGATTCCAAGATCAAGTTCCCACTGCCTGACTGGGTCCTATGTCACCAGTACAAACTACACTTCACCACCAAGAGGCCCAACACCTTCGTTTATATTCAGGGTGCTCCCCTTCTGGCTCTGTGCAAATAAAGTTCTTGGGAAGCCTAAAAAAGAAAACAAAACAGCAATAATGAATACTTTTGCAATTAAATTGCATACATGTCCTTATTTATTTCTGATACATTTCTACAAGAGGATTCCTTGTGTCAAAAGTACATGCTCAAGGCTTTTGATACATATTGCCAAACTGTATTCCAGAAAAGTGTCAATTTATACTCTCAGCAATATAAACCCTATTTCTCTGAATGTTTGCCAATATTAATAATAATTTAAGATAATAATGACCAAATCAAGTCAGTTATTAATTTTCTTTCACTTATTAAAGTCAGTTGTTAAATTTTCTTGAAGTTACTTTGTGTAGTTTTTCTTGTATCTATTTTAGATAATATGAGATCTAATAAGTGAATGAGATGGAACATAAATTTTCATAATAAATTTGTAGCACATGATATTTTTGTTTCAGATATAGTATTTGCTTGGCTGCCTTCCCAATTGTTTATTTTCTATAACAACTTTATAGATTTCACAGACTTCCCAGGAAAATGTATGTATCTTAATTACCACTTTTTTCCCCCAGCTGTTTCCTTGTTTGGATTTTACACATTAAGTTCAAAGAAATCTTTCAAAACATTTATTTAAAAAAGGGAACGACCTAATCTTATTGATAAGGATCTATTTCATTCATTCCATGGTTCATTTATTTACTGTCTCATTCACTCAAAGGTCTATGTCTACTGTCTAATGTCTATGATGTAGGGGGGTCACAGCAGTGAATAAAATAGATGTAGTCCCTGCTCTCCTGGAGCTTATATTTCCAGCGGGGTAAAGGAAAACATACAACAGATAATGAATTTAGATGATAATGATAAATTAGAAATACTTTTAAGAAAATAGAGGGTCAAAGGAATAAAATGGTGGTCAGAGGATGAGACTGAATGAGCCACATAAAGACACGTTCCAGGCATAAAAAAAAACAGCTATGCAAAGGCACTAAGAAATGTCAGTTAAGATTAAATTAGACTGAGAACAAGAGACCCTAAATAGCAGCTTTAATAAGACAGAAATTTTATCTTTTCTCACATAAAAATTTAAGCCTAAGGCAAGCTGGGTAGTAAGGTGCTCCACCAAGATGTCAAGAATCCATGTTTCCATCAACTTAAAAGTTTTGTATTTCCTAGAATGAAGGTTCTTGAATGTGGCCCAAACTGACAGCTAGAGTTCCAGGTCATCACATCTGTATTCCAGGGTATAGCAATATAAGGGGAAGCAGCACAGTGAAGGTACACATCAATTATCTTCTAAGGATGTTTCTGATAAGGCCCCACATGATATATCTGCTTATATTCCATTGGCTAGAACTACCACATGGCTTACAGGGGGCCATGTGTCCACATCTAACAGTATGAAAAAAAATGGAGAAATTTTAAGAGGACAACTAATTGTGTCTACCATAACTGGTTTGGCACGTAACAGAAACAGGAAGCAATGAGAAGGGGTGAGAACAAAATGAAGAGGATGACAAAAGCCAGATTTGCAGTTCTAAAAGCCATGGAAAGAAAACGGATTTTATTCTATCCCTAGGGAAGCCTCTGGACAGTTTTAAACAAGGGAGTGATGTAACCTAATGAAATTTCTTAAATGAGTACTATGGTTAATATGTAGAGAATGGTTTGAAGGGGTGCAGGGAAAAGTGAAAGCTGAGGGACAGTGGATCCTGCTGCATGACTTGGACAGGGTGGTAGCATTAGAAGTGATGAGAAGTGGCTAAATTCAGAAAAGAAAAAAAAAAAAGGAAAAGCAGATGATACTGATGATGAGCTGGACCTAGGGTATGAGGAATCACAGGAGAGTCCTAGATTACACTTGAGCAAATGAGTGCACAGCTGGTTTATGGAAATCAGTAAGACTATGGGAAGACAGTTTGGATTCAAATGTTCTGTTTCAACATGTTAAATTTGAGATGCCTGTGCTTTTAATTCCCTGCCACTGTAAGATTTTTCAGTATTGTCCAAACCTTTTGCAAACTGGAGGTCCCCTCCCCCCTTTCCTATAACTACTTATAAACAAATTCATTCTTTCTAGATTAAGGAATTTTTTCTTTAATCTAAATCAGTAACTATTAAAAGTGCATCTGGAATTTACCTCACTTATGCTTCAAAAACATACAAACACATAAAATAAGCAATGAGTGGACTTTTTCAAGTAAAAGAAAATTTATTAATGTGACTAGTTACAAAAACCAAAAACCTAACAAATCTGAGAGGAAAAAAGCTGGCAATAAAGATGAACTTTTTGATGCAAAAAGAACAATGTTAAAGAACAATGTTAAAAAGATATACCACTTAGAGTGCTTACTAGAAATCATACATATAAGCTCTTTCTTCATTTATAACCAACTCATCTCTAAAGTGAGTTGTAGTTATTTCTTAAACAAGTTTTAGAAATTAATAATAGATTGGGCATCAGTAAGAGGACAATCAAAAACTTGTTTTCAATAAAGCTCACAGTATATTTATCCTAAACAAAGTGTCCCCAAGAAAATAGTATCAGCGTATTTTTTTCTAACACTCACATCCTACAAATTTATTGTGAAAATATATGCTCCATCTCATTCAGTAAAATAGTCTTCCAAAAGAGGAAAGCCCTTAAATTAGACCTGTCCTCTTTTGGAGATATTTGTCCAAATTTTTCAATGTTTATGCTATTAAAATTCCATGCTTTTTTGAGTAAATACAGAGATGTTAAGAATAAAGCCTATTCCTTGGCCTTAAAGTTTTAAATAATAGATTAAAATGTTAAGTAATATATGATGCTACTTTACATGTGCAAAACAAAATAAGGTTATCCCATTTTTATTATTTCATCTTAGGATTCCAAATGTTAAGTTACTCTTTCAAATTATTAAGCTAGATTAAAGTTCTCAGCAATACATAAAGACATGTATATATCTTCAAATACCTATATGTATTAAATATACTTTGAAGCATATTTAGACTTTTAATACACTATCTTACATATCAGTAAAAGCTGAAAAGCAGACGGAGCTGTCAAGAGGAGGAAAAGGGGACTTAGGGTCATAAAAGAAATGTTGTTCCTCCTTGAATTTTCCTTAAGTAAAAAACACAGTAAAGCAGAAAGATTAATGCAGTGAAATATCAGGCAAAACATTTCCCACAAGTTACATCACTACCATTCAAGTTTAAATAAACTCACGTTTACCAGTATGTCAAAATACCTTGCATTCCGTACAACAGTCACCTTTAAAGTATGCTTACTGTTCTTACTATTAATAACCTACATATGCCCTTTGACCTTCCATGATAAATTTACAGTAGTTTTCTTGGAAAGAAAAGGTGATTTTATAAAACAACAAAAAAAGAAAGCAGAAATTTCATTTACTCCAAATGAATTATTTTACATGAATAAATGCTATCACTCAAACAGAAAGGAATGCCAGTTTTCACTTTATGAAAGCACAAAATTCCAAACTCGCATATATATATTCAGAGGTGTTCAAGTCCAAAAATAAAAATGTCGAGTAATACAAAAGGGGAAGAGTCGATCGATATACAAAGGAATAAAAAGTTCAAAGGAAACACATTTTATTTTCACTTTGATTGACGATTATTTTTCGGGAAAGCAGACACTTCACTTAAGTGTCCACCAAAACCATCAAAATTTCAGGCCGTCTGGCCGATACACCTCCCAGTGGGTCATTCAAACCGAGTGGACGCTGCCGAGCAGGAGCTAAACACGGGGCTCTAACTCGGCAGGCGCAGGTTCATCTAACTGCTGAAAAAACCTGCTCCCCCATCAGCTCCCTCCCATGAAACTTAACCATTTAAAAAAAAAAAAAAAAGAAAGGAAGGGCGGTGAGTAGAAAACACCAGCGGTCACGCAGAGGGGAACTCACTTCTCTGGAGGTGATGCTGACGCGCTGCGGGGTCCTGGAAGCGCTGCACCAACACCCGGGCCGGCGGGGCTGCAGGAGGAAAAAGGGACAGTCAGACTCGCTTCAGGTGGTGGGATTGGGGGTGAGCGCGGAGGAGGGACGTTTGAGGCCGACCCGGGAAGGGGGCGGGGTGTCCGACACAAACACAAGCACGCTCCGCGTCCCCGGGGAGGGCGCACCGACGCCACCTCAGCACTCCCGGGCCCTGGACCCCGCGGCGCCCCAAGGACCAGCGCCCCGGGCCCGGCGCGCAGCCACCGGCCTCAGGGGACCGAAGCGGCCGCAGAGGCCCCGCTCTACATAACGGCCGCGGAGCAGCTACGAGCCTCCTCCGTGAGTCAGTGGGAGACGGCGGCGGCCGCGGAGAGGACGCTGAGGGAGGGACGCGCCTCTCCCCACCGCCATCTCGGCCGCGCGGGAAGCGAGCTACCACCCCCAGCTCCGTCCCGTCCGCAATCGCCGCTCCCACCTTCCGCCGCTGCGGTCGCCGCCGCCACGAGAGAAGCCGGAACCACGGGGGTCACGGCGGGGGTCAGAGGGTAAAGGTCTTGCTCCCAGCAGCCTCCGCGGTGGATACGTCGCCATCTTGGATCCGCGGGACAAGAAAATTCATGCGGTGAGTTTTTGGCAAATTTTCGGAAGTCTGGCAGCGGGGCGCGCGGCGGGGGCGGCGGATTCGGGGCCCCCGCAAGGCGGGGGAATGCCTCGGGGCCGGGCCGGTCGCGCCCGGGGTCCGCGGGCAGCGTCCCGGCCCTCCGCTTCCCGTTGCTTTTGTCTCGGCTCCAATCGAGAGAGGGAGAGCGGAGCGGGCGGGGAGGGGGGTGGCGGCGGTGGAGGGAGGGAGGGAGGGGGTGTGTATGAGGAGGGTGGTGGACGGGACGTAAAGCGTCGCTGTACTTGGGTCGCTGCAGCTGCAGCTCCGGATCGTAGGCCTGGTCCCTTCGGCGGGCGATGGGGCTTTCCCCGGACTCCGCTCCCCCGGGCTCCCGCCAGTGTCGAGGAGCCTCCGCCGCGCTGCTTCCTGGGGAAAAGAGAAGGCGGCAGCGGCGGTGGCTAAGGAGCCCAGGCCTGGTTAGACCGCGCTGCCGCCTTCCCAACAGCTGCTGCGGGAGCTGACGGTTCACATTCTCTCAGTACACGCACATCACTTGCGACTTACAGTGTGTGTGTGTGTGTGTGTGTGTGTGTGCGTGCAAGTGTAAGATGGGGGACACTGGACTGGCTAACGGGACTCCTGAGTCTCCAGACCCTGGGACACCGAAGGCTGTGGATGAGAGGAGTGCAGCTGTGATGCTGCTGCCAGCGGACGGGGAGGGTGCAGCTTCCGTGATGGAGAGACTGAGTGCTCGATGGTGTTGGGCCGGCGGAGGAACCCGATACTCTTGTGTCTGTGAAGTTGCGAACCCTGGGTTTCTACTTCCGCTAGCGCCTCTCTACCTTTTACAGCCTCGGGTCTAATGTAAAAGTTTCACGGAAGAAAATGAGTGGGGTTAAAAGAGACCTTTGTAGTTCTTAAGTCTCTGCTCCATCTAGACGAGAGCGCCTCGGTAACTTTTGGCAGCTATCTTTAGCGAATGCGGGTGGTAGTTTTCTCGTAGAAAGCCTTTCTGGGGTTATAGAATTTGCACTTATTCCAGGCCTTGTGGGTACTGTATTACCGCCACAAAAGTCGTACATACGGGTACCATCCTCTCGGAAGGAAACTGAACGTCAACTTCCTTGGAATCTTAGGAGATGCCTTCACTTTTCTGTATCCAGAAGCCCGAATGCAACACAATGTCTTTCATTTTCATAAAACTCCTACTCAGAAACCTTACTTCTTTCTTGATCTTCGGGAAAGTTTCTAATAATTGATACCAACCCCTAGATTCTTGGCAATATGGTAGAAAGTACTCAGTGACCAAAATCTGTTCACAGTGGAGGCCATACTTGCATTTAGAGTTAAAAGTTGAACACATTTCAGTCGTCTTGCTTGATGATTGGAATATCTAGAGCTCTAGAATTGTAAGTGCACCTTTTTATTTGGATTTTAAAACAGCATAGGTGAAAATATAAGGTATGGGGAGGGGATGGAAATTTACCATGTATATGTTGTTTGGAAATATTTGGTATATTTGACAACAGTTATTTCTCAGACATCAGTGACACGTCTCATGCACTTTGGGAAGATAACTTCACACATTTATAGGGTTGGTTAAGAATCACAGTGAACTGAAATAGTTAAATGTCTGTGTTCAAGTGATTATAGATGTTTACATTCAGATTTCTTTTTATTGATATTCTTCTTAAAGCATCAAGACGATTAGTAAGCTCTGTATGTGAACTGCTCTTTTGTTTGAAGTTCTTTTTTGTAATATTAAATCTATAGGAGAAGTACCATAAAAAACGTAACTACTGTGACACTTTTTTTTTGACTCTACAGGATCCTTATATAATTTTAAGAAGGTACTCTTCTCAGTTTTTTCTGAGGACCTGAACTGTAGTGTCTTCTTTGAATTCTTTGTGTTTTAGATGAAATTGAGTAACTGTATTTCATGTTTTTTGCATCCTGACTAATGCTGCATCAATATAAATTTATCCATCATTTGCTGGCAGAACTCTTTTATTGTAATTTTTCTGTATAGAGATATCTGTAACTTAATTTGATACTTTTGAGAAATGAGAAATGCCTTTATGCTTAACCAAGCTACAAAAACAGCCTTAAAATTTTTTTTTTTAATTATACTTCACTTGAAAGTAAATTCATACCGTGGAAAGTGAAGGCATAATGCATGAGTAAATTATGTAATGGTCTTCTTTGAGAAGTGCTTGCTTGAAGATAAAATTCAACAGTGTTCTTCTCCAAGAGAACTAATTAGCTATTTTTTTTATTTTGGATGTTTCATTTATATTTTGATTTTTCAGAGTTACTTTACAGTTAGCTGTAACCTAAAAATTCCTTTGTTCAAAAGTATATAAATACTTTTATGTGTAGGTTTCATTGGAATGCTTCTAACTTAGTTGTTTTTGGTTTTCATCTCCATGATAAGTATAGGTATTAAAAGTATTTGTATTTTGAAAGATTGAGAATTTTTCACCACCTGTGGGAAGTTCCAGTTTTACCCATTTTAGTAGTAAATTTGCTTCATGAGATTTTCTGATACAGAAAAATACAGAAAATTATGCTTCGCATCTATGGGTGAAATAATTGACAATAGATTGGTAAATATAATTTTGTTAAACAGGGTTTTTTTTTTCTTTTTGTTTGTTAAAAGCAGTGTTAATAGCCTTTTTAAATTGTCTTAAAATTTTTAACTGTAGAAATTTCATTCTGTTATGTTCACATATATGAAAGCAAATTTCCCATGTGCCTCCTTGGATTGGTAGGTATTTGAGATCAGCAAATAGTGATACAGTCTTAGGAAAAGATGCTACTAAATAATATTTTAATTTGTTTCCTGATCTTCTAGTGGATTTTGTAACACAGAGAAGCAAAAGAAACCTAGGTATCAGGCAGTTTTAGAGGCAGAGTTAATCTGAGTTGTACTGTAATATTTGCATAGAATTACAGTATGGATATCAAGGGATCTAGTGTTATGATAGGTGTCATTCTGGTTGATGATAGAGGTTTTTCATACTTAACTAAGGATGATTTCTACCTGTGATACTTAAAGGAATTGGATTTTATTGTGACTCACTAGATATTTTGAAAAGTTAGGCTACTATCTAAAAGTCTGCTTTGAAAAGAAAGCGAAAATTAGAATTTTAAGTTTTTAAAATTACAACTTTTACCTTAGTTCTGTTCTTTGAACCTTTCTTCCTCCAATTTACTGTATATGTTTTCCTTGTTTTGGTTTTTGTTTGACATCCTTTGTAAAACTCTTAAAACGCCTCTCATGACAAGTCATGCTGACATGGCTTATTTATTTATTTACTTTGTCTATATTGTTAGGGATGACCTGGGAAGCTATCCCTAAATATTTTCCTGACAGCTTGTGCACTGAAATTTAAGTGCAGACCTCTTGGATGTATGCTGCATTATGAAGTAATAAAATGGCACATAATGTCTATATTTTGGTAAGACCTCTTAGCTTATATAATATGGAAATGCAAAGTGAATTGTCTAGAAAAATAAAGTTTCCCTTGCCTGAATGGACTATAAGGTTTTAGAAATTTTTAGACTCAACTTGACTCTATTTGGTCATGGGTAGGTATTTTGTACATATTTGCCACTTATTCTATTAGTTGCTTTTGGTTTTTTTTTTTGGTTTTTTTTTGTTTATTTGTTTTTTTGTTTGTTTTTGCTTTCATGTGTATTTTTACACCTGTAGGTGTGGTGGGGAGGTATTTTTACTATCATTTCCCTGTTACTTAGCATACTTCTTCTTTGAAACTTTACGCTAGCATTGCTTTCTTAATGAAACTTACCTGACTTCCCAACTCCTTCTGTACTGCTGTATTCAAACTTCTGTGTCGTATTGTATTGTATTTCCCTGTCTGGCCCCACCACCCATCATAACCTCTGTACTATGAGCCCCTTAGAGGTAGGACTTTGTTTTATTTATATTTACATTTTAAGTACCTTCTGTTGTGTATAATACTTAGACTTTATCAATAAATAGGCAGTGAACTGAACAGGTGCTTGACTGTCACTTGACACTTAATGCTATCAGAGTGCTTTGTTTCCCAATCCACAGATAAGAAACAACAGATTGGAAAAGAGGATGGTGAAAAAGACATATATCCATCACTTCCTTGAGTCCTTTCTTACAGTTTTGCTTCTTAATGACCTACGTATGGTAAACTAGGTAACCAGCATCTTAGGTAAATGCATGTAGATTGAGTGCAGAAATAAGGGAAGAATGTTAGTTTTAAAAAAAAATGCTTCTTATAGAATATTTTGGTCTGCATTGCTTGCCATATTTTGTATGGTAAAGTCATTGATTGAAGAAGAGAGCTTGTGTATGTATTTAGATGATGATATATATTTACCATTGTTTAACCAGGAACTCCTGTTCAGTTGGACTTTTTGAAGTTGGAATAGGTTTGTGTGTTTGTATGTTTGTTTGCTTTGTTTTTTACCTTTTGATTCTTTAATGCCTGGCCCAATACAGTGAAGTAGGAATTCTCTAGTTCTACTATAACTCTTCTTATGAAAATTGTGTGAGATGATTTAATACCTCTCTATTGGTAGCCTAAAATCCAAAAATCCCTAAAAACTGATTATTTTTTTTTAAGAAAGTGTGCTGTGCTGGCATATTCCACCTGAAATTGGTAGCCTAATTATAGTCTTTGCCTAATTTTACAATATCTTGATGCAGAAATATTAATGTGCTTGATTACAGGTGCTTCCTAGGTCATTCCAGGAGGTGTGAGTTCAGACATCATTTATATACTATTTCACCTTCTAAAAAAGTCAGTTCTCAGAAACATCTAGCTAAGCTTAAGGGTTTGAATAAAATTCAAACGCCAATACACCAATTTTTTGTATCAGAAGTCTTTTAGAAATGCAGAAATCAAAACAGGGTAAATGAGTCCCATAATTGTTTTTAGTGGAGATGTTAATAATCTGTCACTTGAGATTTTAGAAATCTTTTCACATGATCATTTTCATGTGATATGTTTTCCATTTAAATTAAAAACTGCTAAACATACAGAGTATTGTTTTACAAGATATTTTGATCCAGTACTCAAGATACCAGTCTCTGCTTTTACTGAATTGAAATATCTTTCCTTATGTAAAAGTGGATGAGAATGCATATTTAGTAAATTTTTACTTTGCCAAGGAATGATAAAATAAACCAGAGAAAATTATATGTCCTGGTAATTTAGGTAATAGTATGCGTGCATTTTTTCAAACATATCATAAATCATTTTCCATTTATGTATTTGGATGTTGAAACATAGCTCCATTTTGTATCAGCATCTGGACAAAATGTAATGACTGATTATGTAATACAATGTGTTTGGGAGAGGAACATTTGGTTTTGTGTCATATTTGGCAGAAATGTGTTTTTAATGTTACTTTTACTTTGTAAATCATGCTTATTCTTCATACAAATTTTGTATGTAATTTTCAACTTGTATAAGAATTTTTCATCAGTTGGTAAAATAGTAATATTCAGTATTCAATAAGTAATATTCAATAAGTAATATTCAATAAGTTTGAAGTGCTATTCAAAGGACCTGATTCCTTTTGACTTTATTTTTCTAAATATTTGAACAATGTTTTACAGCTTACAAAGCACTTTCATATGCATTATCTCAACTTTATATGGTAGCCATGTTGAAGTTAACTTTTAAAATCAGGCTAAATTTTAACATTAACAGATAGAATGATCAAACCTTCAATTAGTATGAAAATTAGTAATTGTAATTTATGAGGGCCAATTTTTCGTTAAACTGGGCTCAGCATCTATTCTTCTTCACTTATTTTAATGTTATTCTATTAGGAAAATCCTGATATATCAAATTAAGAAGGTGTAAGCAAAGCAAAAGTTTTGTTTAGCTTTCATCTGGTCATCTTGCAGATTCACGAAAGTAAAATTAATGTAGACAGTTGAAATAAGTAGTTGAAAATTTTGTTTCAAGTTTGACTTTCTGGTAGTATTCATCAGATGCTCTTATATTTTTAAAAATTGTGAACATTTATCAGAAAAACCCAAATGAAAGTAGGTGATAATTTATCACATGCCACATTTTACAAGTTTACTTATTACTGCACACTTAATTCTGCAATATCCATGTACTCAGTAGGTGTTCCTTAAATTTTACCTTGATTTAGTGAACAAAATAATGCTGTAGGGGTGATGAAGGGTCTAGTTTTTGTGATTTTTATGTGAGGCAATGTGTCTGGCCTTAGATAAGAAAAAAGTTACAATGGTAACCTTTCTAAATGTATGTACTCTTAGGAGAAATTATGGATATAATCATGTTTATTTGAGATTTATAGCAAAACTAATCTGGCAACAAAGATAAGACTTCAAAGTGTTTAAATCAGATATATAAAATATTTCCATGCGTTGCAGATGAATCACACATTCTAAAATAGATGTATACAAAAAAAAAAAACAAACATTGGTCATCCAGTGTGTCAGGGAATTTTATCTGTAGACAGCATTAAGATGTTTTAGAGTATAGTTTGAAAATATTGATCTCTTGATGCCTTTAAGGTCACATCTAATATAAAATTCTGTTTTTAAATTTTTTTTTTCCTTTTGCAAAGACATAATTTATAGAACTTAGGTTTTTTTTGAGTGATGTTTAGATAGAAATTGTTTAATTGAAATTTAGGCTCTACTGGCTGGATGCTAGCATTCTCGGCATGTTCAACGATATCCTTCAGTAATTTGAGTGAATATCTTTTTTAGATATTGCTATATGTAGTGGCTATATATATATATGTGAACAAGACAAATTTCTCCTTTTATAGAGTTAATGTCCTTAAAGAAGTAGAGAAAAATAAATAAGTAAACAAATAATTTCAGGTAGTGGTAATTGTCATAAAGAAAATAAAGGGATCAGGACACAGCAATTGGAGGTGGCATTTGAGCAGAAGTCAAAAAGGGAGGAAACCATATAAAAATCTGGGAGTATGGTTTTGCAGGCAGAAAGAATACTTAACACAAGATGGGGTCAAGTTTTATATGTTTGGTGGTAGAAAAAGTTTCATAAGCATTTAGTACTTCCTACGTAAATAAGGGTCAACTTTAAAGAGGAAGAGATAATTCAGACGTAATCTCTGTCTTTCAATATAGAGAGGGAGGAGGGGTTATTTTTCCTTAGGAGACTGTGATAATGTTTTCAAATCAGATGGAGTTAAGGTGTCAATCTTTATTAGTGGGAAATTATAAGGGATAGCAAACTTAAAACTTTCTTGGTGCTTGTATAGACTAATCAAAGCGTGTAGGAGTTTTTTAGCTTTGCAAAGTTTTGGTAGATTTTTCTTAGAAATCAGTGACTTTCATACTTTACCAGATTTGTAAAGTTCTATGAATATTATTGTGTGCCATTCACTGTTAAAAGTGTGCTGAATAATTAAGTTAATTTTTTGTGGTGCATGCTTTGGATATAATACTAGAATAGAGTAATTTTGTTTACGTGAGTTAATGAGCTGGATTTTGAAGGATAATTTTGTGGAGGAGTGTACAGAATCAGTAATCCAGATACACAAAACCTGAGAGAATATGCTGAATTGGAGAAGAGCAAAGTAATCTGCTATAGGTCTCTTTTTTTTCTTATGTGATTCCATTTATTATTACTTTTTTAATTTCATAATTTTTTACATCATTTTTCATTTTTGCACAAAGTATGTATTTTCATCTTGGTTATGGTCCCCATACAATTCCCACCCCCCTCTTGTTTTGAACCTGCTCCCTCCTCCTCCCCCACTTAATGAAGTTCTGGGACCTTGTGAGAAGTTGGCTGTAGGAAAGAGCTGGCCATAGTGTGAGGGAGTTTTTTACATAATGAGGAGTAACCAGTATTTTTAAACACTGAGCATGGACCAGATTGTGCTTCATAGGAAATTTTAACTCCTGCAGTTGATTTATAGTTAAAGTTATAAGCATGGTAATTATTATATTTGTAAAAGTTTTTAAGAATTATTTTCTCTGCATTACACAAATTGAGTAGTTTGTATTCCTATTGGCAGGAGGTTTTATTAGGAACTGCATGACTTGGAAACTATAGTTTGTATCTCCCAAAGAACTTTTCTACATATAAACCAATGCTAGTAGTTTAAAGTTTTACATTAATGGATGGAATGTGTTGCATAAGTTTTAGAGCAGGCAGAATTTGAATGTTGTTTGACATTATTTGCAGGCATTAGGCTTAACATTGTTTGAATACATTAGAATAATACAAAAAATTAGCAGTATTTTTCAAAGGAATTGATATACCTGTCTTATCTGATGTGCTTATTTTATTATGCTAAGATAATATATGTTACTCACACACATAACAGTTTTGTGTTTATTTTAGGTTGTTAGCATTTATTCTGACATGCAAAAGAAGAAAGCCTAAATGTTTTTAATAAAAAGAATCGATTCCTTAAAAGTACAATTTGACATAATTACTGCTTTGGTGGTATGCTGTGTACCATTTTTTTTCATAGCAAAAATTATTATTTCTACCATGATGACTTAGAACTGCCCAAATTGCCTAATTTTTGGCTGATAAAATGGAGCTGATTATAACTATTTCCTGTTGAAGAGTTGTGCCAGAACTTTACATGTCATTAAAGTCTCAGGTACTAGAGCCAGCCTGAATTGGAACTGCCAGTCTGACTTTTTTTATAAGTTATATGACTTGGCCTTCCTAAACTTGTCCTTCAGTTTTTTTCAATCTCAAAGTATGGATAAATGATACCTCATAGTGTTGATTTAAGGAGTAAAGGCTCTTGGGGGGCATTGTTTTTTTGTTTATGAGTAGGACTTGCTACTTAAAGATGAGCTTCTGAGCAAATGAGAATAAGCCACAATTTATTTCACAGTGCACTGCTCTCTTGTAACAGAAAAAATGTGAACAAGAAAGATACAATTTTACTCTTACAGTCTAGACACATTTTTTTTCTGCCAGGGATTTTGTTTAGATGACATTGTGTTAGATGCCACAGGTTAACTGTGGCAGCTTTTATCTTGATTTTGATTTTGTTCCTTCTGTCCCAGACCTGCTGGCCCCTTCTGCCCGTTTCCTATGGATCCCTGCCAGAAGGTGCCTTAGACTTGTGACAGGCTTTTGGGGCTCTGTGGCCTTACTTTGGGCCAACTCTGTTTGACTGGACATTTACCCATGAGGGGATGGGTGACTTTGGATGCTTGATT